ATGAATGCCGTTGATCAACCTATAATTTTCTCTGACATAAAAGCGACGGGACACTTCAACTTTTGTGTGCCATCTATACTCTGGCGCCAAACAATTATAGTAATAATAATATTAACAAATTTATAAAAAATAAAGAAAAATATACTTAATTTAAAAAAAAAAAAATTATAGTAAACAAGACAAATAAACTTACTAAAAAAATAAATAAAAATACATTTATCATTAATTAATAACAACAGTATACCCAAAAAGCAATAATAAATCTCAAAGATACTATCAATAAAAATAAATCTGGGGGACTTAAAACTTGCAAATATTGAAATCATTTACTAGCGTGAACAAATAAACAGAAAAAGCTAATATTAACAAATAGCCTAAATTATTTGTCAACTTACGTTCACACTATTAAGCGGCGTTCTATTATTAAGCGGCGAATCATCTTTTGTTGAACATTCGAGAAGAGGTAGAAAATTAAAGTAATATATCTCAGCTTCTGACCTATGCATTTTTAATGAAACAAATTAATTTCGTGAGCGTCATTGTGAATATTCAAAGGATCATTAAGGTTATTACACATAGTAAAGAAATTAAAAAACCTTCTGAGATTTTCAAATCTAAAGCAGTCAAAAATTAAATGCTCAGCCGATTCTTTCGTGTTTCACATCTTGCATGTATCGTTGGGTGAGCATGTAGAACGTGTCGTAAGAGTCTCCAGAGCATTTTAATCTCGCAGATTTTGAGAAGTGACTCAGATAGCTATCGAAGGGCAAGGAATATTGTAGAAAAGGTAATCTTTTTTGTGAACTGCAGCCATTGAGAAATCTAATATTTGATAAAGCGAGATGCTCTTTTAAGAGCATCTTTGATGAATAGAAAGCTTTCGTGAAGTTGCGCTTTACGTGCAAAGAGGTCGACAGAAGCCGCAGTGAGCAGACACCCAAACCAAACGTTAATTTTCTACAGAAGAGTTAATGGGTTTTAAGACTCTTTTTGCTTGTCAGGTGTAAGACAGTTTATATTGAAGATAGTAAAACTTTCTTAATGCTTTGTACTCCCTGTCTTAACAAAACTTCAAACGATAAGAGGCTTAACAAAGTTTGAAGATAGTACCCCGACATCTTGAATCTGAACAAGCTATTTAACAAATATTCAGCCACAAAAACAGTGGAAACACTATTATCATTCAACCCAACTGTGCCATATATATAAAATTAAATGTTATATTTATTGGACTTACTTTTCACAAATTAGAACTTTTTGTTTTCTTTCTATTAGTATGTGAAACGATTTTTCTTAGATTTTGTTTTCCTTTTACAGCTATATTTTTTGACAAAAGTAACTATGAAGAGAAAGAAAGAACTATGTGTTAGCCATGAAAATCAGTACTGACTCAAAATGATATCTTTTTTAACCCCGCTTCATTTGACGCATATAAGAGAGGATATTTTACAGCTGTTGTACGTTTATAATCGAAAAACGAGAGAATTAATGAAAAATAATTGGCGTAAGCAAAATTGCACTTGTAAAAGAAAAAAGCTATAAATTGAAAATAAAGTAAATTCCGAAGAAAGTTGTTTACTCACAAATAGCTGAACCAAAATAAAAATTTTTTATTTGTGGAAGATAAGTAAATTAACTCATTTGCTTTCATCGAAAATAAAAGGTCTCCAATTTCTCTTTCAAATGGTGTTAACAAATGTGCCAGAACTTGAAAGATGTCTCTCCAAATCGAAGGGAAGCACATCTGGTTTAGACCGCAACTCCTAGCAAATGATCAGTGCTCTGTCTAATTCAAATAAAAAGAAATGGAACTTTATAATACGGTATTTTTGACTGGCCATATATCCTACATATGGAAACTGGCAGCAGTTATTCCAATTCCTAAGTCAAAAAATGTCTCCATTGCATCGGATTATCGCCCAATCTGTCTTTTATCTTGCGTCTCAAAGGTATTGGAAAAGATTATGGCATCTAGATTATCTTGGTTTCTTGAGTCCGAGAACCTGATAACAAAGCAACAAGTTGGTTTCAAGCGGGGTAGAGGGTGCATCGACGCTCTTTTACATATTGATGACTCTTGAAATCATGGAATGTTGGACCCAAATTCTTCAACTACATCATATAATTCATATAGCTTTGGCGGCTTAAAGTTAGAATCAATAATCATCTTTCTGATTCCTTTCCGCTACTGACTGGCATTCCGCAAAGATCTCGTCTTTCTGTCACGCTTTTCCAGATCGTCTACAACGAAATTAGCAAAAGTCTTTGCCGTGAATCGAGAATCCAACATTGTCTTTACACGGACGAAGTATACATTTTTGCAAAAGAAAAAGATAGCAATAAGGTAATTAACATCCTCGAATCCATGTGGAGAAATCTCCACATGGGCAAACTCGTCAGGGCTAAAATTTCCATACAAAAATCCAAAAAAAGCACATTAGGCTTACCAGTACTAAACGTGCAGACACTGCATATTCTCGGGCTGACGTTTTCCAACAAATATCGTTGGAAACCACACTGTCTTCGGTTAAAAACTTCTATTTCACATTAACATTATTGCTTATCTTACGGTTTGATAATTTATGGCAATAGCTGCAAATCTGATATCAACATCCTTAAACCGGTCTATCACCAAGCCCTCAGAGCAAGTTGTTATGCTTTTCGGACGACGCCCATAAATAACATTATAATTGAAACTGGTCTCCCAACTTTAGAAAATAGACTTTATGAGTTAAAAGCTAAAATAGTCCCCAAGCTTCTTAATTCAAACAAATCTATTCTCGGTGATGACGTGAGAAAGATTATTATTGGGCAGAAAATTCAAACGTCACCATCTGCAATTGACTATTGTTTGTACGTCGCAAAGGAATTGAACATTCCCTTAAAAATTTTCCGCCCTTTTAGTGTTACCTCCATGGATTTTGAAAGACTGCTGTTTTGACATCTCGCTGTCTATGCACAAGAAAGAATATACTCCAAATTGCGTCTTCAGGAATCTAATAGCTGAAAAAACCCAAGTACTGGAGAGTACCGGTTGGAATCTTTATATACAGACGGCTCAAAATCTTCTGGTCTGCCTCCTGCTTGTGCCGTGATAGATGCTTCAAAACAGATTCTTCTCAATCACATATTTCACGAAAGTATTTCAGCTTTCCAGAGCTATCCTTCACGCTGCGAACCTTTCCCATAAAAACAAACTGAAAACCGTCATTGTTACTGACAGTTTCTCTGTATTACAAGCTATACGGAATCCTTCGACTTCGAGATAGAGCACCATCGACAAATTAAGGAATATTATTACAACACCCGGCGGAAAAATTAAAATGTTATGGGTACCTAGTCATATTGGTTTATTGGGAAATGAGCGGGTTGATCGAGCGGCGATGTATGCTGCTTCTCTAATTATGGATGATGCCATGGAAAAGTTGGATTTTCAATGATATATTGGAAGAAAAGTTAAAGAGAAAATTACAGAAGGAAATCTACAATACCATCATCAGCACGCTCTTTTATTAACCCTCAATTAACTACACCTCTATATCCAACAAATGTTGAGAAAACCAAGATCCAAACATTTTCGAGAATTCGCCTTGGTCATACAATTTCAACTCACCAATGGATCTTGAAGGAGCCTTCCTCCCCAGTCTCCAATTCTGGACAAATTCTCACTATGAAGCACATTCCCTGTGATCTCTTTAATTTTATCTTGGCTAGAGGTATTGCATTTGGAACGATTAACCCTATGGACATGCTACAATCAGCTACAGAACAGAATATCCATGCAATATATTACTTTATCAAAACTACGAGGCTCAATATCTAATGTACCTTTATTTAAATTAGAGCCGATAGCCTGTGTTGCTAGTGCCCAATGTCTTTTTTTTAGTCTAAGAATTTATTTCATTAGTCGAAAATTATAATAATAATAATAATAATAATGACTCATTTTGGAAAATTAAAAAATTGGCTTTTATTTATATAATAGAAAACTTGAATAGATTTGCAATAAATTTGAAAGTATACATTCTTTAGAGGTAAATTTATATGTTATATAAGATACAAAATTTTCATATTCTATAATATGGAATAAGCGAAGCTGATTCCTTCTATATTCTAGATAAAAGTTTTTTTAGTGCATGGATATACGGTTGTAGGCGTGTCCTTTGAAAACTTTAAGTCCAAAATTCTTTTGGTAATTTGTAGGCGATATCGTCATTTTCGCTAAGGGGAGAAAGTTTACCACAGACAATACACAATTGCGCAAACTGTGAGATGGACAGACGAACAAGAGAACGTGTTAAGGTACATTCCAAGTTTGAAACTAGCCAAGAATTTGTATACTTTATGGGGATTTTGCAGCTTGTTTCCGCGTGTTGTGAAGGTATTGAAAAGACAATTAAATTTTGATACACTGTAATATTGGGTAGGCGTGGCCAATTTCTCCCATTTTTGTACAGATATGCTACAGTATTGCCCACAGAATTTGAATTCACATTTTTGGAAATTGATTTCCTATAGTTCATAAGTAATGAGCAACAAACCCATTTTTCATTCCTTTGGTAAAACAGAGAGTTTCTCAGTTTATGTGATGGTGATGGCACGTCCTTCAACAGATTTGGCCCATTTCCAACACCAACCTGCGTGCAAGAACTTCCAATTTGAAGTCGACAGCTTAAGTTTTGCGGCCAAGAGAATGCTTACAGACGTACGCACAGACGGACATGCTTAAATTGATTTAGAATTTGATGCTGATCTAGAATATATATACTTTGTCAAAATTACACTTTACTTATTTTTGACAAAATAAATATACCTCTCGTCTATTACACCCACCACCGTGATCCTAACAAAGAAAAGGGAAAGAACTAAATCTTCATACTGTATGATGTATAGATAGGTGCAAATTCGTTCTCATTTGTTTTGCATGTATTGTGCCCCTTTAGAGAATAAACGCATATTCGTTCTCATTTGTTTTGCATGTATTGTGCACCTTTAGAGAATAAACGCATATTCGTTTGAAGTTGGTATCTTCATTTTTGCGACGAGGAGAATGCCAACAACAAACACCACACAGACATACCCACAGACACACAGGTAGGTACCTTCGGTGATGGGTAAAAAAATAAAGTGATGTATATTCAAGTTCGCAATTGAAAGTTTTCCTATGAAATTAAGATAAGAAATTATAAAAATTATATGAAATTATTTCACTTCATTTTATTTCATCAACAAGTTTACATAATTTTTTTCTATTTACGTTTATAAGATTTTGTCGTTGGTTATATCATTGTAAACAAATAAACTTCAGATTTGCCTCTTCTTTTCTCATTATTTTGTCGAAGCAAATTTCGAAAGACCAAAGCCATATATAACTCTCACTCAAGATACGTATTTTAACTGAAAACCAGTTAATTAAAAAATACATGCTTAGTACGTGCCAATATTAAATTACTTAAATGAATAAAACAGTATGTTTTGAGATCAGTTTTCAGCAACAAAATAACTCTGTTTTTCTGGTAATAACGGAGATGTAAAAAATATTATAACACCAACCACATATGTTTCTTATGGCAACACCAATTCACAACCCGGCCATATTTTTGCACTCTTTTACTTCAAAAATGACATTTGTTCTCTTCTCTTCGTACATACAATCGCTCTTTGTAGACAGTTCTAAAATAATTTTTCATTTGGTACGTATTGGAAATAAAGCGCATAAAGTAATATGTAGTATTATCAAATGCATAAATATAGAAAGAAGTGGAAAAAGCATTAATAAATTGCAACGAAAAAGTTTGAAATAAAATGGGTAAAAAGTGTGATTTTATCAGAATGTGTTAAATAAAACATAGAGGCAAACTGATTTGTGCAAAACAAAAAGAAAAAAAATTTATTCAACATAATGGAAAAAATCTATAATAGAAAAAAGAAGGAAAAAGAGGTAAAAAGTGCACGGTGAATTGTGTAAAGTAAAGAAAACTAAAAAAAACGAGTAAATGCGAAGCATTTGAAGGACTATTTAAAAAATTCGAATTTTTTTAAACCCCAAAAATAGTTAGCATAAGCGTTAATGAATACGTGCATCTTGAGTTCGGCTTAATGTTTAAATCCATTTGTGTGCGTGTATAGTTCATTCATTTAAGTAAATCTTTGTTATTCTAGAGCATATATTAACTCTTACATGCCGTGTCCAGTCTAGTACTTTTATGTAGTCCTTATAACCACGACCGCGGTTATAAACCTTTAGTAATTTATCATGTTGATACCTGCTTAATAATTTTATTTATATATCTCTTTTTCTATCTAATGAATGGATATTTTTTATGAACGCATACATACAGAAACTCACTAGAGCATTAACTTCGCATATAATGGCCTTCTAGTAAACACTTTTTATTGCCCTCTTTTTTTTTTTTTGTTATTGTCGCTGTTGCTGCCTTTCTTATTCGAATGCTTTGAATTTTCAAACCTCTTATTGTCGTTGCAGTAACATCATCTTTATTATTATAAAAGTTCCTCCGCATTTGTAATAATGTGTCTCTACGTCCCTTTTGCTAGCAGCTACTACAGGCATATAGAGACATGTGAGTTATTTTGTTCTCCTTTTGCATCTTTTCGTTATTGTTTGTGTTATTGTTGTATCTATTTATTATTGCCGTTGTTGTTATTGTTTAGAAATTGCTGCTTTATATGGAGTATTCGTTGTTTTTATTCTAGTAAACGGCTCAAACTCCCTCTCCCTCTGTTATTAGGTTTAATTGTGCGCATAATTTCTACATGACTCTGCTAATTACTTTAGTTTTGATTTCATTTAGAAACTTTTACTTGAAAAAAAGAAAAAGTGTAACCAATTTTAATAAAAAACTTACTTATCTTCCCCTAACTGTATATAAATATACATCTCCTGTTATTCAAAAACGTTTCGAATCCAACGTGAAATTACTTATAATACATAGTTGCTTGAAACTGCCGTTGACGATTGGAAAACTGCAAAAAAAGGAAAGATCGAAATTTCGTTCTTTTCAGCCTAATATGAATCTCTTCAATTTAATTCTTCTGCAAAAATGGGAAAAAAATTTTTCGAAATCTAATTAGATAAATTTTGCAGCGGTAGTCAGATTATTATAATTTATATACAAGGAATATGTGCGGTGATACAGGCTAATTTTTTTTTTACAAAGCTAAGTGAATAAGAATTGGCTTAGGAATTTGGATACCAAAGCATCAGCGTCATTTTTTGTCACAGTTAGCATTGGACAATTGGAGTAACGATTCATTTAAACGTAAAACAAATGTAAAATTTATTAACTTGAAAGGCGATTTTTTATACAACATTCGCCGTACGTTCGCCCTAAAAAAATACGTAGTTGATTCCTCAATTAATTCTTTTTGAGCGATTTTTTTCAAAAGTCACCTTTTATTAATTACGGAAATTCAGACCATACGCCACCAAGTATGTCGAAACAAAAACGATCTGTCGACGCTGTAAGTACCTTAAAAGGTTACAGGGCGCATTAGTAACAAAATATATTTCATATGTTGATTTTTGTCAAAGAATTCACCGCATTGTTAATGTTGTCTGCTTCGAAGTGGTATCTTTAAGTTGTTTCTGACTGAGGTGTGTTATTTACAAGGAGCAAATATAGAGCGGGCTTGGGATTAAGAGAAGTTATCATATTTAATTTTTAAGACCAGCTGTAGTTAAATTCTAAGCATTTTAGAGTAGCTAGTGAAAGCTTTATAAATTCTTGAAAAACTATTAATTCAGAAAAATCATGAATTGTTTCGTCGAAACGAAAGAAATTTTTGTAATAAAATTTTTCTGCTAATCGAATCGTATTCACTAAGTTTAACGTAAATAACAATTACACATGCAGTCTGTTTGCATGATTTGGTTTATTTTACCCGCCATTTAATCGTCTGATAAATTGTTTTAACCATTTTACAAGCATATATAAAAGCGCTTACAATGCTATCTCCGTTCCCTCCTATCTTGCCCCCCTACTCACATTCCACAACATGCGCTGCATTTTATGGATGGGGTCGCACTTTACGTACATGTAGATTTTAGTTTAGAAGATTACCAAAATAAGTATTCAAATATTTTTTGTTTAAAGTTTTGGCTAAGTAGAAAGCAAATTCGGTTACTTTCTATATACATATTAGTGACTTGGGTTTTGGCAAATGTTGTACGGCAATAGTGTGAAAAAACTCTCTTTTGGTCTTCTTCAATAGGTGCAGACTTAGTTAATTTTTGTTCATAATTTTATAACAAATCGTAATTTCAGCCAAAATAATGACAATGGCTTGTTCTCAAGAAAGCTGTGTATATTGGGTAACTCGGGAGTTTCACGTTTAAACTTTGTGTATTTAAGATGAGCGAGGCAGTTTTAAAGGGCAAGTAAAAATACTCTTCTAGTCGCAGAAAAATTTATAAACTCAAAATAATGCGAGTACTTTAGTGGAAAAAGTATAAGTATGCGGCAAAGTATATGCGGAAGAAGTTCGTCAATTTTGTATTATAAAGAGCAAGTAAGAAAACATATCTTTTTCCTAAAAGGAGCTTCTATTTTAAATGCCCATTACATCTTCGATCGGATCTTTAATTACGATATTAAAGCAGAGTGAATTTTAGTATGCAAACCCAAATTTAAGAATTTACGAGAATGTTTTTTGCGCGTTTTTTTTTCTTTTAAGAATATATTCTCCTAGTTTAGTCAATATATTCGTTAAATTGGCATACCAGATCTATACTGTAGTAGAGCAAGTCGCGCATTCAATTGACATATTTGACACAAGATGCTTAATGCGTAAATCAGGATTTAAGCCTATACGATTTCTTATCTATATTCTAAATCAGCGATCGTCAAATTTCGAGGAACACTAACATTAATCAAAAATAAAAATACGAGCCCAAGGTAAGGATAAAAAAGATTTCCTCTGAAAGGAGTACGCTCATAATAATAAATGTAAATAAGTTACTAGTAGTATTTACTTTAATTAAATAAGTATAAAGAGTATTTATTCTCTGAACTAAAGGCATTTTATATTTTAATGTTTACGATTGTGTCTGTTAAGAGCAGCGACATTTGGCTGCAAGAGCACAAGCCGGTGAATCATTTTATACTCAAGCCAAGACCCAGATTAGGACATTGCTTTTATTGTTGTTAAAAGTAGGAATTTCCCTAACATTCAAAGTCAACGAAATTTCTGGACAAATATGAGAGAAATTTGAGTTTGAAGATAAATCACACACGTTGAAAAATAAATCATAAAAATTGCTCTTCCACTCATGACCGAACTTTAAAGATTAAATTTCATTTTGAAGACTTTAATCTGATGCGTATGGCTACGTTCGGGTAAATATTGTAATCCAAAAATTCCAGGAGTGGTTTTAAATTATATTCAACAATAGCTGCTTCGCTTAAGTATCCACTAAACTTTTAGAATATGCAATTGTCAATCAATATCATTTATTATTCCTAGAATTGCCGCCATTATTTCAAAATTTTCGCGCCAATCCTTTTTTGGCCAATGGTGGATGAGTTGGTGATCGTTGTGCGAACCGTTACGCGAACAATAAATACATTCTGGCATAATTGTATTGTGCACACATTGCGATTAACATATGGAGCGAGCACTTTTGATTACATATACATGGGTACACAGATTGGATATTGTTTGAAGATACCTTAGCATACATTTTTGTGCCTTCACCACCATTCAGCAGTAAAGCTAAATATCATCGAAAAGACGTAATGAAAGGGCGGGAGACGACAATGATGCAGAATTATTTTTGCTTTTCTAGAATTGTCTCTTTCTTTTTAAGATGAAGTTCAATACAAGAAAAAGAAAATTATAAGTTTTATACTCTCTGGTAAGAGTTTTTAGTTAATGCTTGTACTGTTGCTCTTATTGCTCTTCGTTTAAATCTTCAGAATAGGGAAATAAAGAAATAGAAAAAAAAGAAAAAATCATGCAAATATAAAATTTTCTACGGCTTCGCTTGCACAGAGTTTCTAGTCATATTTGAATATTTTCACATCTGAATGCCACGAAATACAATAAACCATTATTTTAGTAGCAATTTATTGAGTAGGTAAATAAACATACCATTTAAACAAGTTGAAAAATATTGCATGCAGGTCAATTCTGACTCTTTTCTGAGGCGAGCGTCCGAACGGGGCCGCCCTCGCATGTAATTCTTAATATATCTGTTGCAGTTTTTGTTTTTAAGCTTTTATTGTAGGCCTTCAAAATATCAACGAAATTTCAGTTTCAGAGGTTAATTTTGCAATTTTTGGCTAACAAAAGAGTAGACGACTACAATGCTTCGGAATTACCCGCTTATTAACACGTAAATGTATTTCGTCAAAAAACGACCGGAAATGTTTCAGTATACCACTTCTGTACATACTTTCCCGAATTCTTTCAGCAACAATTAAAAAAGTTGATTGGAAGCCATTTTTACTGTTATCATTGCGTTAGCATAAATAATCATTTATTTAGCGTCTTTACGAAAACTTCGTGTCGATTCGTCAACTTTATTAAATGGGATTATCTTTGATTTCGTTACCTGAGCTTCAAGAAACTTTCTTCTTATTAAGCTTACCTAATGTAAATAAAATTATACGTTACCTGTTTTACAAATGTAAATATCGTATAATTTAATCTCACTTTTTCTACAATTGTTAGGTACATTCGATGGCATTAGTTAATCTTATGACAATATGTCTCTATGACGTAATTAAATTTAATTTCTTTTCTTAATTTTGTTCTTGTATCAATTAGCTGTCAATTATTTGTCGCCCTAAAATGGACTGGATTACAGATACGGCATTTATATCAATGCTTACCGGAATGATTGGAGCAGCTTTTGTTTTACTTCAAAATCTTTTAGTAAATTAAGTGCCTTTGATACAGGTCAATAAATGTACTATA